ATGGGAAAGAAACTATAAACAGAAAAAATCAATAATCTATTGAAAGAAGTCATAATGTATCAGCAGCCTCAGTGTTAGCAGGGAGTGTGTATAGCTGGAAGGACAGACTGGGTAGAAGCTGGAGGGCCATGCATCTGTTTGGATATGAACACAGAGAGGAGAGGAATTTGAAGAGGGAAAAGCTCAATTCCATCAAAGGCAATAAGGACAAGAATGAGATGTTGGAAAGCAAAGGCACTGGGACTTGCTAAATTAAATATGCCAAGTCCTCCAGGTTGAGATAGCTACCTGGTAAGCCATTGGATATCATGAAATCCTAGAATTTTAATCTAAGAGAGTGCTTAGAAATCATTCTGTAAACTCCCTCATTTTCCAGACAAGAAGGTTGAGGTCTCAAGTAATTCTTAGTGCCTTGCCTCAACTGACAAAGCTTATGATCTAGGAAATCTGTTGATAGAGATTTAAGGAGGGAAAATTCAAGGTTGAAGGGTCAACCAAATCTCCAGACTGAGCAAGAAGAATAAAACGCGGCTAGATGATAACTCTCCACGCTGCCAGCAGTGTGGGAAGTGTGTAAATGCTGGTCATTGGCAACATGGCGCGCCTGCTGGGTGCTAAGTACCCCACTAAACACTTTGCAACGCTTCAAAGGGCATGAACAATACAGACGTCATGTGCCCGGGGAAGTGCAGGGCTCTAATTGGGAGGGCAGGCCGGCCCTGTGAGAGCACCCCTCGCTGAGGGGATCCGACCCAGTGTGCAAACAGAGAGACCTGAAGCTCTGAGGATTAATCAAGGAAGAATCGTTCTAAGTGTTTCTAATGCAAAACACAGACAAAAGGAGAGAATTTACTATGTCTTAACAACAAAACCAAGATTTATAATCTTGTAAATTCTACCAAGGATCTTTATGTCAGAAGTTAGAAGTGACTTGCTTTCTTCATTCAGGGTGGTTAGATTCTGTTTACTGAATTTACATTCAGGAAAGTTGGTGGTATTAAATATGTTCTGGGAATATCTACGAATTTTCAAATTAAAAAATAGGAATCAGTACAATAAATATATATTATCTGTGATCTTTAGGTTTTAGGGGCTGCTAAACTATTTTAATAAGGAGTTTATTTTTAAGGCAGAAATAGAAAAAGGAGCATTAATTGTAATTAATTGTTATTAATATATATGTATATGTTATTTTAAACTAAAATTTAAATGTATTCCTTTGGAAGATTTGGCTGTGATACATGACTGTTTCATATATATATATATATATTTATTATCAAAAAGTCTTAAATTACAAATGAAAACTATTTTGAGTAATACAATAGTAGAAGCATCTTTGGAAGATCTGAGACAATTCCTACAATAACATTTAACTTTTCCATCTAGTCTCCTTTGACCCTCATCATATTTGAAAGGACTAAAGAGGACAGATTTAAAAAAAAAAAATTCTCAGCTGTGGCCACACAGGCACTCTTTCTGCATGTTAGTGATTATTTTGACCTATTTATGTGCAAACGAAGAAGGGCCCCATCCAGATGACTTTATTAATTTGGAAATCTTGCTTTCACAGCTGGGATTTCATCTTCTTTATCAGGCAGTATATTCCTATTCCCAAGATTTTAGTAACAAGAGGGAACTTGCCTCCTTTGTAAGGCAGTCCCTCAAAGGTCCACAACGGAAGGCAGGAGGGAAAATGCCTCACAGCATCACCACTGTTAGACAGCGTGTGGGAAGCCAGGTTTCCCCTCAGGGACAAAGCTTTGCAAGGCGCCCACATTTTTAAAAGACACACAGATGGTGCTACTTAAGACCTGAATAGGGCATTCTCTGCATTCCACAATGCATTTCTTTCAGAAGCAGCATTTCCAATCCTGTAGGTTATCAGGATGTCAAAAATGTTTGGGCCAGAAACACTTCCATAAACTCTTACACAAAAAGGAAAACACATACAGCAGTTTTTTGATCAAATACATTTTAAGGTAATTTTCTTTCTTTCTTTCTTTCTT